GAAGGGCGGCGCGAGCAGTGGGTTCTGTGTCCCCACACCTGTCCCCCCCACTCCCGTGTCCCCCTCCCAGGGAGGCTGCGGGGCACTGCGGCAAACCCCCCCGCCTCACCCCATGGCGGCACGGCCAGCCCAAAACAGGGGAACAGGCAGGTCTTGAGGTCATGGGCTTGCAGCAGGAGCTGAGGGGGAAAGGGCGGTTTGCAGCGTGGAAAAAAGTCCAGGATAATGAAACCACCCGCCCAGCCTCTCCTCCACCTCCCCGTCCCAGCACAGGCACAGAAGGAGCAAGGATGGGTGAAGCCAGCACAGCCAGGGCTCTGCAGAGGGTGCACACACAGGGGCAGTGCGTTTGTGAAGGATTTGGGGTTCCCTAAGAAGGGGAGGCTGCAGAATCCCTCCCCGCTGCAGCATCTCCTCTCTCCCGTTGCAGTGAGGCTGGACAAGCTCTCGGAGGTGGCCAAGGTGAACACGGACGCCATCCGCCTGGCCCAGGAGGAGATCTCCGAGTACCGCCGCCAGCTCCAGTCCAAGACCACAGAGCTGGAAGCTCTCAAAGGAACCCAGGAGTCACTGGAGAGGCAGAGGCAGGACTCAGAGGAGCGCCATCATGCCGATGTCCTGTCCTACCAGGTAACGAGGAGCAATAGGAAGCATTTGGTGGGGAGGGACCATCCAGCTGCCAGGGAGGAGCAGCGCTGGCTAGAAATGTTCCCACAGCTTGTCTGTGCTGGACGGAGCTCTGCAAAGGGAGCTGGGGGCACGGCTGACCCCACCTGAGGTGGTGCTGGGTTCCTGTGGGGTCCCCCCCAAGGGAACTGGACCCACTGAAACAGCCTCTGGCCACATCCCCTTCCCTCTGTGTCTGCAGGGGGAGGTGGGTGCAACCCCTTGGTTAGGGGTCTCTAGTGGGGAGTGAGCAGTCAGTCCTCTGGGGATGATTTAGGGGTGCTCTGTGTCCCCCTGAGCCTGGGGGCTGGCCCCCCATGGGACCAGTTGCTCTCTCTGTCCCCAGGAAACCATCCAGCAGCTTGACAGTGAGCTGAGGAACACCAAGTGGGAGATGGCAGCTCAGCTCCGCGAGTACCAGGATCTGCTCAACGTCAAAATGGCCTTGGACATCGAAATTGCTGCCTACAGGTATGGGGGGGGCGGGTAAAGGGAAGGTGGGGGGGGGCCTTGCTAGGCCCTAGTGCTGGTGTCTGAGTGGATACTCCTTGAGGGGCCTCACTAATACCTGGACCCTTCTTGGTGAGAAAGAGACGCTTCCATCCCAAGAGCATGGTGGGCAACATCCAACTGGGTGACCCAGCCCTGCACAGGGCAGAAGAAAGGGCGAGGAAACCTGCAGGAGGGTCAGCCAGCATCTCAAAAGCTGGGCAAGGAGGGAGATGGAGTTCAGGGCATGGCTGGGAGCTCCTGAGCATGGGAGAAGGTGAGAGCTGGGGGAGAAGCAACCACTGATGGCCCTGCTCTGGTCTCTTCCTGGCAGAAAGCTCCTGGAAGGGGAGGAATATCGGATTGAGTCTGGCTTTGGGATGATCTCCTTCCCTGAGGTGGTCCCCAAAGCTCCCAGCATCGCCACCAACATCAAGGTGAAAAGCGAGGAGAAGATCAAGGTGGTGGAAAAATCAGAGAAGGAGACAGTGATTGTGGAGGAGCAGACAGAGGAAATCCAGGTGACTGAGGAAGTTACGGAGGAGGAGGAGGCTGAGAAAGAGGCTGAAGAGGAGAAAGCTGAAGAAGAGGAGGAAGGAGAAGAGGAGAAAGCTGAAGCAGAGGGTGAAGAAGAGGAGGCCAAGTCTCCTGCAAAAGAGGAGGCCAAGTCCCCAGAGAAACCTGAGTCCCCCTCAAAGGAGGAGGCCAAGAGCCCAGCTGTCAAGTCCCCAGAAAAGCCACCAAGCCCCTCAAAGGAGGAGGCCAAGACTCCATCTGTAAAGTCACCAGAGAAGCCTGCAACCCCCTCCAAAGAAGAGGCCAAGAGCCCTGCCGTGAAGGCTCCAGAGAAACCCCCAAGAACCTCAAAAGAAAAAAACCCCCAACACCCTCAAAAGAAGAGGCCAAGAGCCCTGCCGTAAAGTCTCCAGAGAAACCCCCAACACCCTCAAAAGAGGAGGCCAAGAGCCCTGCTATCAAATCCCCAGAAAAACCCCCGACCCCCTCAAAGGAGGAGGCCAAGACCCCAGCAGTGAAGTCCCCAGAGAAACCCCCAACCCCCTCAAAAGAGGAGGCCAAGAGCCCCGCTGCCAAGTCACCAGAGAAGCCTTCAACCCCCTTGAAAGAGGAGGCCAAGACACCAGCTGTGAAGTCCCCAGAGAAACCTGCACCTCCCTCAAAAGATGAGCTCAAACCTCCATCTGTCAAATCCCCAGAGAAACACCCAACCCCCTCTAAAGAGGGGGCCAAGACCCCAGTGGTGAAGTCCCCTGAGAAACCCCCAACCCCTTCAAAGGAGGAGGCCAAAACTCCAACTGTGAAGTCCCCAGAAAAACCCCCAACCCCTTCAAAGGAGGAGGCCAAGCCCCCAGCTGTGAAGTCCCCCGAGAAAGTCAAATCTCCTGCGAAGGAGGAGGCCAAGTCCCCACAGAAGGAAGCGGCCCCAGCCAAGGAGCCCACCCCTCCAAAGGAGCTGAAAGCCCCTGCGAAGGAAGAGCCGCCCCAGAAGGAGAAGGCTCCATCCAAGCCTGGAGCCGAGGAGGGCAAGAAGGAGGAAGCCCCCAAGAAGGATGTCCCAGCCAAGGTGGAGGAGAAGCCCAAAGAGAAGGCGGCTGCTGTCCCAGAGCCTCCGGCCCCACAGGTGAAGGAGACCGCGAAGCCCAAACCCACAGAAGAAGGAAAAGCTGAGAAGGAGGCGCCACCAAAACCTCAGCAGGAGGTTGGCAAGGCGGCTGCGAAAGAGGCTGAGAAGCCAAAGGCTGAGGAGAAGGTGGAGGAACCCAAAAAGGAGAAGGTGGAGGAGCCCAAAGCTAAAGCCAAACCCAAAGATGAGCCCAAAGCCAGTAAGGAGCCCCCCAAGGCTGAGCCCCCCTCCAGCAAGGAGGGCAAAGCCCCAGAGCCGGCACCCACCACGGGGAAGAAGTGAGCGGAGCCCTGGGCGCTGAAGAGCACCTCTGGGTGCAGGAGCTGCTCTGCTCGCCCCTGACAGAGTGGGGCCGCCCCCCAAGGCCGGGCTTTACCTTTGTAATAAAACGTGTGAGAGACCCAGCCCCTCGCCGCCCTGCCGTGGCGGTTTGGCCGCTAGCTTCCCCAGCAGAACGTGATTTCCGCCCAGCGCCACATTTCCACACTTGAATCCTCACCGAGGAGAGCCTGGGGGAGCCGCCCGCCCTGCTCCAGCAAGTGCATTTATTTAACGTATGTGCAATGGATGGATGAGCGCAACGCTGAGCTCTAGCTGCTTGGGACAGGGGGCTGGTAGGGTCCTACCCTGGTCTGGGGGGTGACAACTGTCCCTCCAAGCAGTGCCCCAGGCTGCAGCCGGCTTCAGAGGAAGAGGCTGGGCAGGGGGGAACGCTCACAGGCACCTGGTGCACCAGGAACCACAGCCCACTGTTATTTGCTTTCTGTGCAATAACCAAATAAAGTGCTTACCGAGATGCTGTGCCTCTGCTGGCCTCTGGGGTGGGGTGGGGGGAGAAGAGAGGGGGAAGAAAGGCAGGAAAGCCTGGCCTGGGAGGGCTGAAGCTGTCACCCAGGGCTAGGGGAGTGACAGGG